TGAAAGTCTGTTCCAAGAATTCGTCAAAGAGTATTAATGTTATTAAATATTAAATATTTAATATTTATATTCTTCCTAAATGATGTAGAGTAACAAGGAAACAGTATTTTGATTTTCCTAAGATATCGTTCATATGTAAAGAAAATTTATGAAGCCTCTTTCCGCGGTGTTTCTTACACATTAAAGAAACAATGATCACAAATTAAGATCTTGCATTAGATGCTACTGAACACAAAAATATGGCATTTTAAAAACTGTTTGTAATGGAGTTCGAACAGATAATGCACTGGTACTCGTATATATATATATATATATATATATATATATATATATATATATATATATATATATATATATATATATATATATATATAAAATCCAAGAAAAATCACAGTGGTCGGTGATAAATATGAAAATTATTTTAAATAAATAAAAACACGGAGAACGAGTAAAACATAAGCGCTTTCATTTCTTCTTCATGATGTTTTACAATACTCATGGTAACGTCTATTATGACGTCATAATAACTTAACGTTAACAAGTCTTTGATTGACGTCATATTTTTCCCGTACTTTCACAGAACAATGCATTAACAAAGCATACAATAACAAAGCAATAAATGTGACTCAGTAACATAATTTACATGTAAAGAAACAATTCTTTTACATTAAACTATTTAATTTAGGTTTGAAAGTCCTTATAAAATGTCTTTCTTTATCACGTCTTTCGATTGTGTTAGAGTTGTGCAGTTTATAAAATGGAAAGACAGTAAAAGTTCTATTTCCGCACACGTCTAAGTGTTCACTGACTTTGAGTTTGCGATATTGCGGTACGTTTATTTGTTGTTTGTGTACTCTGATCCTCTCCCGTAAGGTACTTCCCGTCTCGCCGATATATAGTTCCCCGCAACCGGAACATGTTATAACGTATATAACATTTCTAGTTTGACATGACATGTTATTATTATCAGTAAACTGTTTCCCGTTAAAGTTGAAACTTTGTCCTTGTCGTATGTATGGGCAGGTACCACAACGCGAATCCTGGCACTTGGTCACATGAAATTCTGTCGTTTCTTTAAAAGAGGACTTTGTGAGAATTCGTCTGAGGTTCTTCGGCTGCCTCCTACTGTTTATGAATTTCCGATTTTTGAATATTTTAGACATAGTTTCGTCGGTTTTCAAAACGTCGTTGAGTTGGTAAACAATCGGTGCAACGTTTGTATTCTGGGGATTATGGGTCGTTACTAAAGGCAAGATCCTGGAATCCGTCTTGTTTTGTTGCACAGGGTTGAGGAGGTCCTCTCTGTCTAAATCCATGGCTTTTTTAATAGCATTATTAATATTTTTTTCGGGATAACTTTGTTTCCGTAGATACTCTTTCAGTTCTTGTAGTCTTTGTATTTTGGTTGTTTCCTTATTTACGATGGTGCATATTCTCCTTGCTAAATTATAAGGGATGGCTCTTTTCGTATGCCGTGGATGGCACGAATTAAAATGAAGATACTGATGCGTGTCTGTTGGCTTGTAATAGATATCTGTCAAAATGACATCGTTTTCCTTAATTACCATGATATCCAGAAATGGAATTCTATCTGTACTTTCCTCCGCTGTAAATCTTATATCAGGATTAAGTTCATTCAGTTCATTCAGTAATGTTTTAAAGGTAGATAATTCGTTGTTACTGTATTTCCAAACAATAAAACAGTCGTCCAGATATCTTTTCCAGTTGTTAGTAATATAAAGTTTCACCTCTTCGTTGAACTGCTCTTCCACTTTCTTATACATTTTTTCTTCTAAGTATCCTAATGTTAATGTGGCATATGTAAAGGAAAACGATGTCATTTTGACAGATATCTATTACAAGCCAACAGACACGCATCAGTATCTTCATTTTAATTCGTGCCATCCACGGCATACGAAAAGAGCCATCCCTTATAATTTAGCAAGGAGAATATGCACCATCGTAAATAAGGAAACAACCAAAATACAAAGACTACAAGAGCTTAAAGAGTATCTACGGAAACAAAGTTATCCCGAAAAAATTATTGATAATGCTATTAAAAAAGCCATGGAATTAAACAGAGAGGACCTCCTCAACCCTGTGCAACAAAACAAGACGGATTCCAGGATCTTGCCTTTAGTAACGACCCATAATCCCCAGAATACAAACGTTGCACCGATTGTTTACCAACTCAACGACGTTTTGAAAACCGACGAAACTATGTCTAAAATATTCAAAAATCGGAAATTCATAAACAGTAGGAGGCAGCCGAAGAACCTCAGACGAATTCTCACAAAGTCCTCTTTTAAAGAAACGACAGAATTTCATGTGACCAAGTGCCAGGATTCGCGTTGTGGTACCTGCCCATACATACGACAAGGACAAAGTTTCAACTTTAACGGGAAACAGTTTACTGTTAATAATAACATGTCATGTCAAGCTAGAAATGTTATATACGTTATAACATGTTCCGGTTGCGGGGAACTATATATCGGCGAGACGGGAAGTACCTTACGGGAGAGGATCAGAGTACACAAACAACAAATAAACGTACCGCAATATCGCAAACTCAAAGTCAGTGAACACTTAGACGTGTGCGGAAATAGAACTTTTACTGTCTTTCCATTTTATAAACTGCACAACTCTAACACAATCGAAAGACGTGATAAAGAAAGACATTTTATAAGGACTTTCAAACCTAAATTAAATAGTTTAATGTAAAAGAATTGTTTCTTTACATGTAAATTATGTTACTGAGTCACATTTATTGCTTTGTTATTGTATGCTTTGTTAATGCATTGTTCTGTGAAAGTACGGGAAAAATATGACATCAATCAAAGACTTGTTAACGTTAAGTTATTATGACGTCATAATAGACGTTACCATGAGTATTGTAAAACATCATGAAGAAGAAATGAAAGCGCTTATGTTTTACTCGTTCTCCGTGTTTTTATTTATTTAAAATAATTTTCATATATATATATATATATATATATATATATATATATATATATATATATATATATATATATATATATATATATATATATAGCACTAAAAAACCAACAACACTGTATATCCAAAATGTCGGATCTACCAAGTAGATACAAGGTCACGGATGTAAATTTATATAAAGCACTAAAAATGACCAACGACACGAACAATAAAAATTGTCAAATTTTCGGGACGCCCTGTCCCTTCCTCAGGACAAAGAAAAAAGTTAAAACGTCATAATAACACAGGAAAAAGAAAAGCAAAAACAACTAGCACTACTACTAAACTACTAAACACTAGATATTTACATACTTAATTACATATTGAATTTGAAATTTTTAAGAACACTAATAAAGAAAGAAATCCGGACCGCTATGAAATGCGTCCGGTCTATCGGGTATACTCGGGTGAAGTGCGATTTACATAATTGAACGAATTAATTATGCTAATTAATTACGACAATCAGTAAATCGTACATTGTTTCATTCTCTCAAAGTGGCGTAACTTTACTTAATAAAGAATAATGAAAGAAAAATCATATAGTAGGGATATTTAAACATATGAATTGTGATCAATTATAAATTTTGAAATACTTAAGGACTTATTATCGGGAAAAAATAATTAACAAAGGCGTAAGCAATACATAAGCAATACATAGTATGTGGTTGTTCGAGAGTTGGTGGCGCAAATTAACTGTAGAGTTTACACTAAATTGAGAGAATAATTTTGTTTAGTATGATCAGGAATTGGGTCTAATTTACGTTCATTCTGGTGAAGTCATTCAATTTGTTAATACCATTTGGGCGGAATGACTTCAATCTGTGCATCCATAACTTTTCTTTGCTATTCCTCTGAGCATCTGTCCATCTTGGGTTATGGTCAATCACCACTACTGTCATGTCCTCCCATTTGTGACCTTCAAGGTTGAAATGTTCCCCAACGGGTTCATTGAGTTTTTTGGTCCTAATAGTCGAACGGTGGTTATTGACTCTCCTACGGAGATCTCGAGCTCCTGTTTCACCAATATACAGTTTGGAGCAAACTTTGCAACTGATGAGATAAATGCAGTTGTCAGTATGACAGGACAAATTCCCTAGTATTTTGTAGCTGCGGCCTATAACAGGGCTGTTAAAACTGTCTGTGCCAGTGCTGTGCTTACAAAGAAGACATCTCCTGTCAGAGCAAGTTTTAAAGCCCCCGTTAGGTAATGGGTTGTCCAATCTGGTTTTTACTACCATGTCCTTTAGATTCCTTGGGCGTCTGTATGCAGCCAATGGAGGTTCCTTAAAGACCTCTGCCATTCGTTTGTTTGAATGGAGAATTGGTAGGTTCTATTGAAGGATACCGCTAAGGTTCTTAAGGACGGGATGGTATGTGGTTACCAGATGGACCCTGTCGCTATTGTCTTTTTCCTTGTAGCGTAATAGGTTTCGCCTGTCATGTTCCGCCATCTCATCAATAATAGCTGTTTGTTCGGTGCGGGCATTGTAGCCTCTTTTGCATAAGTGGGACTTAAGAAGACCACTTTGCTCCTGATATAAGGCAGGGGACGAACAGATGCGTCGAATTCTGGTGGCTAGACCCTTAGGCACTCCCTTAAAAGTGTGTGGGGGATGACAGCTTGTGGGCATAAGATATAGGTGGGAGTCTGTGGGTTTGGTGTGGAGACTGAATTCGATTTCTCCATCAATCAGGGTAGATGTAGTATCTAGGAATACGTTTTTCGAATAAGATACGTCTACTGTAAATTTGATCGACTGATGAAAGGTTTTGGCAAACGTAATGAATGCCTCGAGGCTCTCGCGACATTCCACCCACTTCATCTTTTTATCGTCAATGAAACGCAACCAGCTATGGGGCCTAAATGGTGCTTGAAGTAACAAGTTGTGTTCCAGTCTGCCAGTGAAGACATTGGCATAAGACGGTGCCATTTTCGTACCCATAGCAGTGCCATTAACTTGCAGGTAATGTTCTCCATTAAACATGAAGTTGTTGAACTTGAGAACATGTTCAAGGAGCTTAGCAAGAGACTCGGTAGAAGGAACTTGTATGGATCTACTATCCCAGACTTCTCTACAGGCTTCGATACCCTCATCGTGCGGAATATTGGTGTACAAAGATGTAACGTCCATAGTCACGAGGAGGGTATGATCTGGGAGGCCAGTAGAGGGCGTCTTGTTAATGTAGTCCGTAGTGTCCTTAAGGTAGGATGGCAAACTTTCTACGTGTGGACGGAGATGTAAATCAATGAATTCAGAAATTTTCTCCGTGGGGTGTCCAATTGCGCTTACTATGGGGCGACCTGGCATGCCTTCTTTGTGTATTTTAGGAAGCAGATAGAAATGTCCTGGTCTACAGTCAATAGGATTTAAGGTCTCGTAGACGTTGATACCAATCTCATTTTTCTCAAACATATCGTCAAGAGTTTTGGTAATGGCGGTGGAGAATTCTTTAGTAGGATCAGAGTCCAGTTTCTTATAGAAACGTTCGTCTGAGAGTTGTTTATGGGCCTCCGCCATGTAAGTCTCTTTATCCATTACTACAACTGTAGAGCCTTTGTCTGCTTTCTTAATTACAATGTCATCCCGATTTTTTAATGATTGTATGGCAGATCTCTCCTCCTTACTCAAATTGTCGGGAGTTTTGTCTGGCATTGAAAGGAGCTTCTCTATGTCTGACTCAACGGCATCAATATACGACTCAATCGCGCCGCACTTGCCCGGTGTAGGTTCCCAGGCACTCTTGGGCTTATAGAGTTTGTGTTCCTCTAGGTCGTGCAAATCTGGCTTGGAAGAGTCGTATGAATTTGCTTCGGAGTTTTTCTAGAGAAGTGCTCCTTCAGACGAAGTCTCCGGAAGAATGCTCGGATGTCCTCTCTGACTTGTTTTTCATCGACCTCATGTGGCGTGGGGCAGAAATTTAGCCCCTTTGAGAGAAGTGAGGTCTCCGATTCGGAGAGAGGAGCACTAGATATATTGAGCACTGGGCAGACGTCAGGAGTTTGTATGGGTCCGTCCCTCGCGATTGTCTTAATGCGTTTGAAGCGTCTCGAGCGGGGTTTACGTGTTTTGTTAACTCTGACCTCTGACCAGTTGTTCCTAGACTGTGGAACACTACATTTCTTTTCTTGAATGTGGATATGTCCGAAGTGAAGCCAAATGTACGTATTTATGAAGAAAGTCTCCGCGAATTCTGGATCGGAATGAATTAAATCGTTTTATGAATACTAGTAAATATTGTATGAGTTTATAGCCTTTGATATTGTGGCGTTTAAAATATCCATACTTTTACTAGCATCATTAAGTTCAGTGAGATTTAACCATTTGACATGCATCAACAACAAAATACTATGTGTATCTAAATGGCAATCATCAATGACTGACAATAATTTGCCATTTCTCCCTAATTTATTCACTTTAATCATCAAACCTCTCAAGACTTTGGTAATGCCCGAAAATGTAGAATCAGGCTTGGGGTCAATTACTTTGAAATGTAATTAATTACTTTCAATTACTTTGACAAATGTAATTAAATACATTTCAATTACTTTGAGTTTTATTTTTATAAAAAATAAAGATATTTTTAAATAAGATTTTTCCTATAGCGATCGAATTCGTACTTTCATTTAGTGTTTTTGTTCTTGGGTATGATAGGGGTTCACACCTTGTCGGAATTAGACCTTTACCTTATAATGAGTGTGACACACTGTATAAACAAATTAAACATTATGAGACAATTAATTATTGTACAAACACAAGCCCATGCTACACCAGTATGGTGTATGGCAAGATCTTTTTTTTTACTTTCTCAAATCCATATTTTTGAAGGAAATAAATATCTATCACAATTCCATTCATCATTTTCTATCTTAAAATGAATAGAATACAGATAAATCTAAAAGGGGATGTAGTTAGTCTAATTGCTGTAAAACAAATTAACTATCTAAACAATCATAATGTTACTTGCAAGTGAGAATAGGGAGAACTGAGATTTATAAAACATGGGAATAAGTAATATAAACCCACCAGTATAAAACTATGTATCAGTATGAGACACCTTTTCAAATATAAACTTTCATTTAGAAAAAAGTATTTGAGATGTAATAGAAAAGTAATTGAAAATACGAGGGCCGTTCAAAAATTACGCGGACTGTGCTATTATTTACTCTTACAGACGTCATATATTTATGAAATTTCACAGAAATATGTATCCTAAAGATTCCAATAAATTTAGGGCAAAATTTCTGTTTTTTAAAAAAATTCTACTAAAATTGTCGGTATGTTGATATCGCTGATGGAGAGGTACGGAGCACGACAAAAAACTTGAAGCAAAAGCATGCGGAATCCAAAATTTTACTCATTAATTTTCTATACTTCGCGATATTTTTCGACAATTTTCTCAAATGTATCTTTAAATTGTTCTATCATTATGAAAAATAGATTTCTGACGTGATATTTGAAGTACTAACAGAAATATAGTGATTTTTCTCTGATGCGATTCCCTTGAAAACGACTGTGAAAATGACGTCTCCTGAATTGACGGCGCACCACATTTTGATAAATTATTGTAATGCTCAACATAGACCCAAAATATCCATAATAAAACAGGTAGTAAACTAGGGTATTCGTGACATTCGTTCACAAATAGCAAATTGAAATTTTAGACCGTAAGACCTGTGTAAAAAGGCTATACGGGGGGACGGGAAGAAGATTATCGACGAAAACTTTATCCGGACTGGTAAAGAATGCGTGATTGAGAGTCACCAATATCACACTATATCTCATAAATACCTGCAGTGTTTGGTTTTAAAACAAAAAAGAATATTCTTTACTTGTTTAATATATTTTAAGCTTGACAAGAAATGGTGTATGGAAGTTGAGTATATAACGTAACTAAAACTGTACAGATACTGTTAGGAAAATGTTGAAAAAATGAAAGCTCCATCACATATTTTTTATAATGCCTGTGACGTCGAAGATTTCGCTGCTCCGTGACTTAATGATATGCCCTGAAAAATCACTCAAAACTGATACCAATTTACCACATTTTGATATTAAATTTTGAAGACCATATAAGCAAAGATTCTTTTATATTATGTGTGACATTTTGCCCGCTTATGTCGTCAAATATTTTTTCTGTGCAACAAGTCCGCGTAATTTTTGAACGGCCCTCGTACATGACCTTTTTTGAAATGTATTTAAATACATTCAATTACTTGTAATTGAAGGCTCGCTCAAATACAAATTACTTCCAATTACTTTGAAAAATGTAATTAATTACACTCAATTACAATTACTTTATTCAATTACCCCATGCCTGTGTAGAATATGCATTGCTTTTGTTTTCTATGTTGTAGAATATAGTTTTTGTAATACAAATGATGCTATAATACATTTTTAACTTTTTTGGTACCCTCGTATATTGATAGGAAATAAATGAAGTCTATTTGGTGTTTCCAAAGAGCAAATGAAAAATTAAGAATATGCCCGTCATGGGAATGCTAATCATCGTTTGTTGTTGGAATGAACTGCAGTCACTCCAAATGATTTTGAATGAATTAAAAAACATTTCGAAAAAATTTATGTTTAATTAAACATCAGCATCAGTGTTTTCCTTAATTACACAAACACTAACTAAACACATACTGCAAGGACATCATTGTTGAAAACAGAAACTCGATTATTCTGATAAATATCATGTGATAGTGCAAAACCATCTCTATATTCATAAACGTGTGTTTGAGTACCTGATTTATTTTTTTAATTATTTTTTAGGGAGGGGGGGGGGGGGGGGGGGGGCACGGGGGTATTTTTCATGCGATAACATGTGATACTAATTTTTTGAAATTCAAGTCTAGCGACAAGTATTAGTCATCATTTGTCTTGCATTCATTGACAGAGATCTATATATTAAAACAGATAAAGACATAACACTCTTCGTTAAAGCTTCCAAAGGTTCGTGATCATAGAGAATATTTTCAATTTATCCTTAATAATCCCTTGTAACTGTTTAAGAATACATGTATGTTAGACGGTGCAACCGTTAGTGATGCGGAACAGATCTGGATGACTTCAAATTAGCTGCAATAACTTAGCCCTCTCCGATTATTTTATTGATGTTTTCTGGAGAGGGCTACAATTCCACAGCATCTCTGTAATGGTGCAAAATATTTTTTTAAATACGGGCGACCGCAGGCAGACGAAATAGTTTTTACATTCAACTTACTTCTAATAAGATTTTAATTCACTGTAAAATAACATAGCCCGTTAAACGCGGAAACCATGTAAAATAAATCTTTCTGCTTATCTGTAGTTTCACTCAATAACCATGACACTTCACGCGTGACGTACCGATACTTGCACTTGAAATTTAGAATAACTTAAAAAGCAGGTGTCGGTGTTTAAAAATAATTGTGATGAATAGTTTCACTAAACATAGATAAATAAAATCAAAATCATACCATATTTTATTTTTTCGTAAACAGCGATATTTAGGCTAAAAATAAGGTAATTCCATAAAAATTCGCTCCCCATAGATCCTTAATCTCATTGGCTGTCCCAAAATAAAATCTGTCAAGGTCAGTAAACATGGCGGGTAAATTTAAGATGTGATGTTGACATACACGAAAAATAACTGATATATGGGTTGTTATGTATATTTTTGGATTGATTTATGTCTTGAATAACTACACTTTTTCAATCTTTATTTAATAGCGTCCTCTAATATAAAAATAAGGTGTTAAAAAATTCAACACACGTTTTGATCAACCCTCTTATTCTCATAAACATCATACATGTACTTACGTTTGCATGGATCTTTCAAAATTCAAAACTTTTTAAATTCTCTTGATGGAATTGATCTTTAGGGAAAATTATTGCTAAAAATAATTTTCTGTATACTTAAAATTGCACGTTAATATTTTTTATCCTATTGTAGAGTAATTTTGTTATGGGGAATACGTTGACAACACAAACAAAAGAAAAGATTTTAACAAAAAATGAGCATACTACCAGCATATTCTACGATGCCCATTGTACAGAACTGCACAGCATAGAAATGGACTTATTGGATTTAAATAACGAGGCATTATAGAGGCATGAAATATGTGAACAACACCCAGATAAGAAATATTACCATTGGTGTGTGACGTTTGAACTCCCATTCTGTTCAACTTGTTTGGAACACACGTACAAACGACATGACACGAAAAATATCAAATCACATATCCTTAAACATATTCCTATAACTCTAACACGACCATGCAGACACAAAATTGATAATTTTAAAAACAATACGATCCCTAATTGCTACACTTTTATGGAAAAAATTAATTCTGATGTGGAAATTTGCCGAAGAGAATCCATAGGCATTGAGCTAAATATGATGTTAAGGATAATATTCAAAGTTCAGAAATTGAAGTCTAGAATGAATAGTAGTTCTTCATGCGGAAAGCTGTAAAGTTATTTCGTATTTGATCGCTAAACGACAAGAACCAAAAAGAATCAATAGAAGACATATTTTTGTCTAAGAGAAATTCGTACATAAATATGAGGAGTCGGCAAAAGACCGGTTCAATTTTAACTAGTGCTAATTGTAACGGGGACCGTTACAGATGTTCCCCAAACGCTCCCCAACTCTCTTTTTGTGCCATATTACCTGTAAGCTTCATTAGATAAGACAAACTCTTATGTTTTTGAGACTTTAACATTTACCTGGAAGTGTACGAAGTTCATTCAAATTTTAGCATTGCATGCGTGCGCATGCTAATGCCTGTGCGTAACGACCATATCATTTTGTCTACACAATCCATATATTTTGATAA